ACCGCCACAAATTGGTGACCCCTAATTTCCGAACACCGGAATTCCGCAAACTCTTCGTCCACAACAACAATCTTCCGGCAACCTACAGCGCGATGTCCCAAGACCAGAAGTCACTCATCAACTCAAATTCTCAAGGAGCTGGTGTACGCTTGGATCGGCTCGAGGAAGTATTAATGCGCCTGAAAGCCCAGCTTACTGCAGCTACCACTAACGGCCCTCGGCGAACACCAAACCGTCGCCCTACTTCCTCCGTTTCCCACACCCGCCGTTCACAATCTCCAAGTAGCGTCTGCTGGTATCACCAACAATTTGGAGGAGCAGCTCGACGATGTCTTCAGCCATGCTCTTTCAAGGCATCTCTAACGGCCTCAGGGAGACGATCCCACCCGACAGTAGAGTCCACTGCTGCTGGAAGCGTTGCCAATCTCCACACTCGCCGTTTGTTTCTCTGGGACCGTGTCGCTGGCGCCAAATTCCTTGTCGACTCTGGTGCCGAGGTTAGCGTGGTTCCACCAACTCCGGCCGAACGCAAAACCCGCAGCTTTTTTTGTTTAACAGCCGCCAACAACTCCAGCATCCCCACCTTTGGACAGTGCTCCATCACACTTGATTTGGGCCTTCGTCGAATTTTCCGATGGGTTTTCATTATTGCCGACGTCTCCGTCGCCCTCATAGGTGCCGATTTCCTCGCTCACTTCAATCTACTAGTTGATTTGAAGAATCGCCGACTCGTCGACTGCATTACCGACCTCCATGCCCGTTGTCAATCCGATGTGAACCCCTGCGTCAACCCTCTCACTGTTATGCCCATCTCTGACTGTCCTTTCCACTCACTCCTCAGGCAGTTTCCCCGCCTGACCAACCCCTCATTTCGTGAAGTGGACATCAAACACACAGTCACTCACCACATTTCCACCAATGGACCTCCCAAATCTTGCCGACCACGTCGTCTGGCACCGAACCATTTGAAGATAGCCAAGGCAGAGTTCGAACACATGCTTGAGCTCGGCATCATTCGACAGTCCGACAGCTGCTGGGCATCACCCCTCCATCTTGTTCCAAAGAAGAGCGGCGACTGGCGACCGTGTGGTGACTATCGGGCGTTGAACTCAGCGACGGTCCCCGACCAGTATCCCGTCCCGCATATCCAAGACTTCACTCTTTCGCTACGTGGTAAGCGAATATTCTCTAAGATCGACCTTGTGCGTGCCTACCACCAAATCCCGATCGAGGCCAGTGATGTTCCGAAGACTGCAGTGACCACTCCCTTGGGTTATTCGAATTTACTCGTATGCCCCTTTGGTCTGAGGAACGCCACTCAAACCTTTCAGCGATTCATTGATCAGGTTCTGCGAGGTCTCGACTTCGTCTACGCCTACATTGATGATTTGCTAGTGGCTAGTTCTGACGCTGCTGAACACGAGCTTCATCTTCGACAACTCTTCGAACGGCTTGACTCTTTCGGCGTTGTAATCAATGTTGCTAAATGCGAGTTTGGAGTCCCTAGCCTTATCTTTCTTGGTCACGAAGTGAACTCAGATGGGATAAAGCCCGTCCCGACAACCATCAGCCAACTACGCCGATTCTTGGGGATGGTGAACTACTATCACCGTTTTCTTCCCCATGGTGCCACCATACTGCAGCCTCTCAATAGCTTGCTGACCCACTCCAAGAAGACACTAGTGATGACCGAGGAGGCCGTCAGGTCCTTCAATGACGTCAAGGCCGCACTTGCGGACGCAACATTGCTTGCCCATCCTCGCTCAGATGCCCAACTAACTCACATGACAGATGCTTCCAGCACTGCAGTTGGTGCATCACTGCAGCAAACTGTTGGTGGTGTTCTACAGCCTTTGGCTTTCTTCTCGAAGAAGCTCAGCCCAGCAGAGACCCGCTACAGTGTCTTCGGCCGAGAACTCCTCGCCGTCTACCTATCCATCCGGCACTTCCGCCATTTCCTCGAGGGTCGCGAATTTGTTGTTTTAACAGATCACAAGCCACTCGTTTTTGCACTGAGGGCCTCTCCCGACCGATACTCGCCCCGTGAAATTCGTCATCTAGACTTCATCTCACAGTTTTCCTGCGACATCCAACATGTCCACGGTAAGGAAAATGTGGTTGCTGATGCTCTTTCAAGAATCGAGATGGCTTCCATCACAACAGACGCCATAGACTTCACGCTCATGGCTGAGGCTCAACGATCGGATGACGAACTTCCCCAATACCGCCACGAGAACTCTTCTTTACGCTTTCAAGATGTGTCACTGGCACTGGCACCATCACGTGCGACCTTTCTACCGGACACGAACGTCCTTTTGTTCCAGCAACTTAACGACGACGAGTGTTCAACACTCTTCACAATCTATACCACCCTGGAGTCCGGGCGACAGTGAAACTCATCACTGACCGATTCGTCTGGCCCAGCATCAACCGGGATGTACGGCGTTGGACCCGATCCTGTCTTCCATGTCAGCGAGCCAAAACGCATCGGCATACTATTACTCCGCCAGGAACTTTCGCCACTCCTGATGCACGCTTCAGCCATGTGCACATTGACCTGGTAGGTCCGCTTCCACCATCTAACGGTTCTACCTATATGCTGACATGTATTGATCGCTTTACTCGGTGGCCGGTTGCTGCGCCCATTCCGGACATCAGTGCCGAAACCGTAGCAAGAGCTTTCTTGACTCATTGGGTGTCCAATTTTGGAGTTCCTGCGACTGTCACCACTGACCGCGGATCCCAATTCGAGTCCACGCTGTTTCGCGAACTCACATCCCTTCTCAGTACCAACCGAATCTGAAAAACAGCGTACCACCCTCAAGCAAATGGTCTCGTCGAACGCTTTCACCGATAGCTCAAGACTTCCCTTATGGCCCAGTCCGATCCTTCCCGATGGTCTGATCACCTTCCCCTGGTGCTGTTGTCCCTCCGTTCCACTCTCAAGGCCGACATCGGTTGCACTGCGGCTGATCTTGTCTACGGAACCTCCCTACGACTGCCCGGTGAGTTAGTGTCTCCCTCAAACATGCTAACGTTTTTTGCACCTTGCAGTTATGTGGAGCAGCTGCGTAGTGTCATGCGCAATCTCCGCGCAACGCCCCCTCGGGCGTCACCGGCCAATTCCTTCATCCCTCCCGACCTAGATAAGTGCAATTTCGTCTTGGTTCGGCATGACGCTGTCCGACGACCACTCCAACCACCCTATGACGGGCCGTATAAAGTCCATCGTCGATCTGACAAAGATGTTGTCATCGACCGCAACGGCAAGTCCGACACAGTCAGCACTGATCGCGTCAAGCCGGCGTTCATCGACGACAGAGACCATTCCTTACCCCAACACTGCACTCCGCCGCAAACACTGATGCCTCCACCTACTGGCGACAGTCCCCCTCCGGTTCGCCGCACACGATCTGGTCGTCACGTCCACTGGCCCGACAGGTTTGTGGCTGGCTAGCATGTTGACGCCTTCACTCCGTTTGTGTCTGGGGGTAGTTGTAGCAGCCGTTCCAGTTCTCCGGCTCCGTTTTGTCGATCGATGGCCGCGACAATCGTTGCCAGGCCGCCGACACACAACCACCCCCGCCGATTATAACTGGGCCCCCCTCCTGTCCAGCTGCAGTGACCCCCGGCTGCCCCCACAAACTATTATCACCTCATGCGCGTCGGACGACCATGCTTGATACCCGTGAGCCCCTGTAATTATGCTTCCCCCTAATCCTCCCCTAATCAGTCCAATCTCATGACCAGCATCCAACCCGACACCCCCACCTACTGACACAGACTTTCACTCCCGCGTAAACTACACACCGTGACTGACGCTCTCCGTGAACGGACGCTTACCTCTGTTGCAAGCAAACAGCCAACTTACGGCAACCTGCCCTGTGTACAGAATAAACTAGTCCTCCCAGCTCCCTGACTTCTAACACTAGATGAAACGAACTTATTGTGCGTGGTTTAAGTTGATCTCACATCCTTGACCGCCACAGTAATAGGGGTTTTACGGGTGGGGCCTTTGGGATGCGCCGATAAGTGTGAATAATAGAATTATTTTTTTATGAAATTCCCCTTTAAAGTTTAACTTCATCACTATATTGCTACGGAAGTAGGCGCGGTAAATGAAAAGTAAACAAATGGCAGTGCTATACACATATACCATTTTAAGCAACCCGCGGATCAATTTAGCGCCTGTGATCAAACATCCAAGGAACCGTAACGAATGGTAAACAAGTAGAATTGGTCTGTTGTCTGTCGTAAGGGATAGTTAGTGAACGTATGTACCATGAAATCTAACGCTATGCGCTTGAGTACCTGTGAAGCACTTATCGAGAGAAACGAAATAACACAATAATTGAATAAGTAAATGGTAGGCAAATGCTACTGTGTTTTGGATAAATAACCAACGATGGAATAGTATGTCCTAAATTTAATACATGCTTAGTATGTTCCCATAGCAAGGAATATGCAATAAGGATATTTTTAAGAAAAGTAAATCTAATTTTTGTTTCGTAGATCGGTAGACGCAGGCAACAAACGGAAACCGCGAACTATCATAGTGCAATACCGTCTATGGTTTGGCATTAACGCCATTTGCCTGAAAGATGCCTGGGAACACTTTTTGTCGCATATAGCTGAAGCCTTTCCTTTTTAATATGAAAAATGAATTTAGATAAACTTTGATACTGATACCGATCCTATGCCTGTTCACCCGACTTGGGTACGGGTACGAGCGCGAAGGGGATGAGGACGTATTGGCTAAGTAGGTGGACCACCTACCTGGCTGAAACCTGTCAATGCCTAGGATAAGTCTTTCGCCTTTTACTAAAGATTTCGTTGTGGGGGGTGCAATTCAATGAGTTTATATAGACATATTTGCAGCGCCGCGTTCTCGGGGCGGTGAAAGTGAAGAAGAAAGTCATGCTGACAAGGCTTCTGCGCGTGCACTGCCAGACATAATGAGAACGTAGGGCCAGCCCATGGTAGGCAGTCGTGGAAAGTCCAAGTAGTACGTGCAAGTATGCCGGCAACAATTGAGGCCACTGTTGAAAGCGGGGAATATGATATGACTCCGTTGAATGCTGACCGCAGTTTTTATTGAAGCCTGCGAAGTTCAGGAACGCGTGCCATCAAGTTGTCTAGACCGATGCCTCAAATGTGGATGCTTATGGCAATGTTATCAAAAGTGTGGTCGGTCTATGGCGATTGTTCCCCTACAATCGTAAGGTATGCACAGTGAGCATTTTGCGACTAAGCCGTAGTATGTCATGGCTGAATAAGCCGAAGAAGTTGTAATGGTGGCACTCGTCGGCCGTAATAGCCTCCAGCATTGATGTTAAGCAGTCGTTTGGTTTGTAATGTTCGCTCTCTGACTGCGCCAAAGGAATGCCAGTATGTACGATGACACATATCGGCTGCTGTGCTCGCACTTCAGCAATGGAAGCATATTGCGTGCTCTACACTTGTTCCACTGCGATCTTATCCCAACTGTCCTAAAACAAGCTGCCATTCGTTGCAAAAGGAAGGTAGGGTCTAAGACGATGGTTTCGCAATTCTCTATAGCTATTGTGGAGGTCTTGGATTTGTGGTTTGACGTTTCCTGCGATGGAACGCTTGAGTGCTCCCGTATTGTCAATGCCAACGCCCGGTCTGTGTCCATGCTTAGCGGCTGTGTAAGTGTAGGTTTTGATAATCGAAGTCAGCCACCATGTGGACTGAAGGTCAGACCGACTGCCACGGTCGTAATTCGGCTATGGAAACCTATCTCAATGTTGGTAATAGCAGGGATGGTCTACAACTATCGTTAAGCAAATATGCTACATACGGACTAGTGCTGTCGCTGGTAACCTCAAGAGTCGTTGCTGGTGATTGGCAAACCCGGATGACACAACAAATATGTATGCCTATAACCTACTCAAATAGATAGAGTAGGTATTATTTCCTGGTTGAGAAGATTTTTTAGGTGCCATCTCCCAATGGTTACCTGCAGGGCCTCCAAATGAAAACACCTGCCGTTATCAGGAAACCATGATGAATAAAGCAGAAACAGCGACCGAGAAAATTGTTATGGCAACTCATAATAACACTTCAGATTAACTCACCAACCACAAATGATGTGGGTTTGATAGATACCGCGGTTGTACAGGTGGGTTTAGCAAATGTTACCAAACCACAGCTAAACATTTCATGATAAGGGAAATTCACCCAAACATCGGTTGTTTATGTTAGCGTATTAAACCTTGGCGGAACGAAAGGTCACTTAATAGAAATGACCTATTAAGGCGCTAGAGCGACCCCGTATGCAGTAGGTCACTATCTTTAGCTGCCACTGTGCTGTAGCCCCAATGAAAAGGACAAAGCGCTCCTTCACGTAAAACGCGTACGCAGTTCTTCTACTTATTTTTATAGGTAACGAGAGATATCGAGGCGTTTACGACGACCTCGGCGACAGCACTTAGCACGACAGAGGATATTCAGTGCAGTATCAGGCCCGGGTTCGTTGAAGACCGGATAAGGTTAGGGTTACAGCTGGGCCTAAATTTAGATTTAAGGTCGACGCTACGGTCACATAACCTCACACCAAGCCGATAATTCTCACTAGTAAAAATCATCAATTGATAATTTCCGAGTCCTGTCATGCCTATTTCAAATAATCTCACAGAACTTTGTGAAAACAATAGCAAATTTTCGTTGGAATGTCCGCAGAAGCTACCAATTCTGAAAAATGCTTCAAAGACTAGAGCAAAGGGTTGATTCTCTAGGTTTGCACACAGAATGCATTAAAGCTATTGTCCATGATGATAGCACCTATCTGGAAAGGGCTGATCAGACACTGCTAGCAGCCTTATGCCACGACTAGCTTTAAAATGAGCGGATAAGGAAGCGGTCTAAATCGAGTAAGAAGCTTCAAGAGGGAAACAAAAGGCATACGGGCAGTAGTATTTTCAAGAGACGAGCTGAATTATTTTCAGAATAACTGTCAGCGCAATACGAATCTGCTCATTTTGATCTAACTGTGAAAAACTCGACGACCTCGGTAGGATGCGAACCCACAACAGCAAGGGGAAGGCTTGAGTACAGTCAAAACTCTAGCCACTTGAGATACGGGGCACCGCCGGGGGACGGTGAGTTTAATTACATGAAGTGTCTGTTTTATTCTAGGGCATGGGAATGGTATTAGTGCCCAATAATTTGTTTAGGTATTCAGAAAACCGGTTGGCGAGGATACATTTGCTTTCGATAAATTCTTGTCAGTCCGGTGCATTTATATGGGGACGGGGTAGAAGCAAAATATGCCTGTGATAAGAGAAATCAATTGAAGTTCTTCTTAAGAGACAGGCGGGGTGTGGGAATCGGGTGGGGGTGGGGTGGGGCGTAATAATAGCCAATTCCAATGGCGGGGTTAGAGCGGAAGAGCGTGGAGAGTTGCATGATTAGTCCACCTTTGACCACAGTAGGTGCGTAGCCTGAACGTGGTTCTTCTGCGCTTACAAGATCGGTTTTCGTAACCTGATGGTGGCCGCTTCTGTTGTTGCTAATAGGCGTTGACCCAGTAACTAGGTGTAGATCGATGAAACCTCACAAATCACCAGAAAAGCTTCATTGGAGTCCACACGATGTTTGCAGTCAATAACATGCGCGAGAACGGCGCTTTTTATGCTCTTAGTTTGTTCTTTTCCCAGCCATGTCTGGAGGGGTTCTCGTATTCTCTTGGATATGCGCCGACTCGTGCGATCAGTATAACCAGCCCGCAGGAACATATAAATAAACCATTAATCTTAGTTGAGTAGCAGTTTCTGGCCGTCTTCTTTTATTTACTACTATTCCCCTGAACACTGTTATATGCTGAACGTTCGGTGTGCCCACTATTATAACTAAAGTGCTTTTTGGTCTCGTAACGGCGGCTTTCACGATGTTGATTTAACACTCAACCCGTCTCCGTGTCATTAGAGCGTAGTATCAATTTCTAATGATTGTGTACTTGAAGAAATTTTCGTTAGCTTATGCCTACATCATAACTTCTAAAGTCGATTAAGTCTTGTAGTGTCTCGTTTGAATGGAGGCTAAACATGAAGAAAAATTCCCATTTGGGCGAATTTCGGCTGCATGATACATGTTTTTGGTCTCAAAATATTTTTGTTTTGATGATGTCCAGTTGTAACTCGGTATCACTAAATGCTACGAGAGCGTGCGGAAAACAATATTTGCATGAGTATTAAAACTTACGTACGGCTATAGCTTGACATATATTTATCGCGCAGTAGGCTATAAGAACACAGATCTACAGACAGAAAGAAATGCCTATTCGACCATTTTTTCCTAAAAACGTACAGATCCTATTGAGGTGGACTATCATACCGAAGAGTACAGACGCCAACTTCATATAAGAAGGATTTTTGATGTACTTTGCATCCGTACATAAAAATTACGACTTTACTTGTGCACAGGGCTTGATGCCGTCATAATCGCACACTGGTAAATCATCTCAGACATGCAGTAAAGTAGAATCCCCCACAAATGGCGTTTCTGGCTGCGCGAGAGACGTACATTTTGCAGTAATCGACCATTGCCCTTACGTCGGTAGGAACTGCTCCAGACTAGTATGCACTTTTGGGAATTTCTTGATGACGTCGATACGGAACCTGAAACACTTATTTGTTGGACTATACTATATCAGGCTAGTCTATTGGTATGAGGCGCGGTTGAGTGTTGGAAGAGAAGGTGCAACCACTCCAAACTAATCCCCGTTGACACTTTTCGACCGTCATTAGACAAAGTAACAGCGACTTCGAGCTATGAAACAGACTTACTGATCCAAAGTTCTACTACGTCATCTATATGAATAAAGGCGAACAAAAGGCGTGTATATTCTGTTAACTAGTCCCTGAAGCTATAGCTGCTTGTGTGAAAACAATGCGATTCTATAAGACCAGGTAATAAGGTGTGTTTGACAGCAAGTGCTTGAGAGAACAAACCTTTATTCAGGGATTCAAGTTGACTTAACAAAGGAAGATGGGAACAATGCTGTGTGGTCTATCCGGGCACTAGCCCGTTTTAAGGCTTGAAAGACCAAAAGCCCCTCACAACCGCATGTTCCTCGTTTATGACGCAAAGCCCTTTTGATTAATCTTACGCCACTTGAAGTGGACTGCCGAGCCTATGGAATATAAGGCATACGTGAAGGCCCTATTTGTTCGAAGGCTATTGCCAAATTCAACTAACAGTGGATGAGGCTGCGGTAATCGACTTTTATTGCCGCAATAGCTTCGTCACACCTACACCACCTTTGCTATAGAGCGCGCACATTGGCGGATGAAAGTTTAAGTCACGCATCACTTAATTCCTCTACACAAGGTTTGCGCGACGTCCATGCATAGGCTGACGCTTATTAATTGGATGTATCACAACATGGCCAAAGATAGCTCTCAGCGTGATTTAACGATTGTGGTTACCGGCATCTGAGCTGTTCCTGTGTCTTCTTCCACAGTACAATTCGTTTTCCAGACCTTCGGTTTGGATAACTCATTGTTGCCGCTAAGTGAACTTCGGCTGACAAACCTTGATTTTATATCCGAATTGGGTTTCCTCCCGAGATGAACCTGCTTGACATGTTTCATATCGGTCGTCTGCTCGAGATATTACGGACTGCCACTTTCGACCTCACGGCCTTTTAAAGCACTGATCGATTCACAGTGGGCACAAATATAAATAGAAGAGTCGGATAGTCGAACGTCTTCCATAGAATATTCACGTTTAATAATTATCACGGAGGCTGTCGTTGCGAAAGAATCTATGTAAAATTAGTGACTTTGCTGATGCATCTATGTTAACAAATTAATTTTTAAATCCCACCATTTATCGTTTCCAAACGCTCGACAACAGGCATATTAGTCCGTGGCATGACACTCACGTTTCCAACGCATGATTATTTGAAAATTGAGGAGAGTGAGTCCATGCAAGGCAATATTGTTGGTTTTGATTACAAATAAACCGCGAAATTTTGACTTTAAATAGAATTTGGACAATCACTTTTATTATTATTTGGCTGTCAAGTTCCACTTTACGGCCTTCAGAGCACCGGCGACAGGAAGCGTTCAACTTCTTCGGATAAAAGCTCAACAAGACAATTACAATGCTGGGCACTTATAGTTATACCACTAGGTAGATTTACTGCGCCACATGAAAGACGCTTCTCTCCCGCTGCTAACGGCACGTCAATGAATTTGGAAAAACCTTTATGCTCCTAAATTCTCCAAGATGATCCATATCACTGAGAGGGATAACCCGTCAAGAAAAACTAGAATACTGTGGCCACCACTGTTCGAAATAAGCGGTAACTTGCAAGTCGTCGAGGTCGCTCATCAACTAATGGTTGTTCGCAAAAAACATCAAATCACAATGTCTTTTTATAACGAGTCCATATATCTGAAGATTAAAGAATGTACTGACAGTTATAAAAGATGTACTATGACTTAGACGGCCACATGGTTCTATTAAAATCGATAAAAAATATTAAAAATGACGGAAATACGTCCAGTAATATTGACCTGTGCAGTTACCGGGATATAAAAGTTTTGCATTTTCACAAGACGGCGCATTCCCTTAATAACTCGACGGTTGGGAGTCCTTGGGTGATAAAATACATAACAATACAAATAAAAGAATCTCGGGCTGGATGTTTTTTTACGATTAAACAGTAAACGGGGAATAATTTCCGGGCCGAAACGTGAAGGCAGAATTCGGTTTGCCAGGATTCTTAGTGTCATGTATTCATGTGAAAAACTGACCAGTTAAGGAAGTACACGGCGTGACCAATCTCATGAAATGTTGGCCAAAATTCCGGAATGCGTTGCCGATTAGGAAGGATTACTTAAGTGGGGTTGTTAGACTGATTACCATGCAGCACAACCGTATAACTTTTCGGACTCACCAGGATGTCGGCTTTTGAATGCACTTCTTTTTGACCTCCTGCAGAAATCGCACTCAGCAGAAAATGGCTACTTATGTAGCATGAATTTTTCCTATTGATTTTCGATGGTCTTATAAATTCAAATATATTTTTCAGAAAACATGCACAAAGATATGCTTCCTTTTGCTCATTTGGTAGAAAATCACATTGTTTTCATATTTTATACATGAGGAAAGTGTATATTTAGGTTTTAAAAAAGTTTCCAAATTCCCGAAAAATTTTCCGCCTGATCTGCCATTGCATCAGCGTTTAGTAATTGCAGTCTACAGGATGCATGCAAGCCGCGCAAAGGAAATCATATATTACTCTATGCCTTTAAGAAGATACCACATAGGGTTCATCAAATTTTGTAACGGATACGGACTGTGCTGTACATTTCATGAGGAGCATTACTAAACGGGCATTTGCGGTCTTGCGTGCATGGACATCGCACGGTCTTAAAAATCTCATAATTAGAAACTTTTTTAAAACCTAAATATACACTTTCCTCATGTATAAAATACAAAAAACAATGTGATTTCCTATCAAATGAGCAAAAGGAAGCATATCTTTGTGCATGTTTTATGAAAAATATATTTGAATCTATAAGACCATCGAAAATCAATAGGAAAAATTCATGCTACATAAGTAGCCATTTTCTGCTGAGTGCGATTTCTGCAGGAGGTTAAAAAGGAGTGCATTCAAAAGCCGACATCCTGGCGAGTCCGAAATGTTATATGGTTGTGCTGCATGGTAATCAGTCTAACAACCTCACTTAAGTAATCCTTCCTAATCGGCAACGCATTCCGGAATGTTGGCCAACATTTCATGAGATCGGTCACGCACTGTAAGTGCAGGGATAGAGTGCTGTGCAGAGCAGATATTCGGGGAAATAAAATGGGAGAAAATTCAATCAGGTATGGGATTAGTAGACAGGGCAATAGTAACGATTTCTTTTAAGAGCTTGAATTTCAAAAAGGGGCAAACTTTAGTCTTCAGCACATATCAATTGACAGAACAGACCCAATAGATATAAACCCAGTAGCTTGGTCGACTTACTTAGATATATATTGCGACAAATTGAACAAAGCAATAGCATAATGTCAATGCACCAAAAATGTTGTTAGGAGACCGGAAATGAGATCATCGAAGGAGTGGGGCGACAAAATTCAAGCCACCAAACAGGACCCTAGTGTAGGCGGCCGGTGAGCATACATTAGGCACTACAATAAGTATACATCACGATGCTACACGAGGGAGGATTAGAAAGTCCACTGACTACTTTCCAATCGATGCTTCACAAGGAAAAGGGTTAGGCAGAAAACATTTGGGGAAGTAAGGTGTGAATTGAAAAATTATTCGTATACTGACATGACCCTCCTTTAAAAATGGAGGGATCAGGCGATGGAAACTAGTAGGGTTCATGTAAGAGTAGTTGTAATGAACAGAAATGAAAGGAGAGTGCTTCGAGTTTAGAGGAATATGACAGGGAATAGCAAGTCAAATCAGCAAAGGGCATAAGGCGATCTCGGTTGCCTACTGTAAACGCCCAAGTAACTCGGACGAATACAATGCTGGGCGATATCACTGATATCTCAGAGTGCCAACTTCTGTCTTTTGAACTGCACCCCAGCTCTAGGATCGAGTCCGACATTGTGTACAGTCTTTAAAATGAGCAAAAAGAACCTGGGGGACCAGTGCACCTTGGCTTCCGAAGACAAATCTCCTCCACCGTATATGCAAGTGTAAACCAGAAGGTACAATCTGATATGAACATGAAACGTAAATGTTATTTTTATTTTAATAGGCTGAAATTCGGTCAGAAACGACGAAAATACAGTTAAGGGGTCATTGGAGTTTGACCGCCTGTTGGCGCCTCTTCCCGAATTCCTGAACGCGATGGAGTCCTATTCGAGCGACTTCTCTCTTAAAAACGTGGCGGTCGTTAAGAATAACGAATCATTTATGCATGATCATGAACGAGAAAAAAACTTCCGTCTATGTGGTCGTTCGTGTTCTCAGATTTCCCTGAGCGCTTCAGAGAAGGCTAGGAAATTCTTCTCCCGAATATACAGATTCAAGCAGATGGACTTCGAATATGCTCTTTGGCAAATGGTCAACATTTTCTCTTCCCCACAGAAGCTGTACAGGAACTTTAGCTACCACCATTGTAAGGAGTTTTATTTTCAATCTGTTTATCTCTCTAAGCAACTGGAAACCAGTGGGCACGAGATGATCCGGCCTTCCTTATTCTCCTCTTGCCATGGATATTCGGTAATTCAATCATCACTTCGATGTTTCTTGCTCTTCCTTCGTGATCTTCCACGAAATACGGACTAATGTCCGGGTAGAATTCCTCGTTGTTGGCAATGGCCACCTCTTATAGGTGTGAGGCTTAGGCAATTTGACCGCACAGGGGAACATATTCGTTCACTTTTCATTTGGAGCTCTCTTCAGAGCCGTCCTATGTATTCGCGCACCGGTGAGCAGATTTATTAGAAGGTAAAATGAGGGCGGATGGAATGGCATCTTGAGGGCCACCAGAAGCCATCAGACAACAATACCTCAGCCTGGGCCTGATGGCCTGGAGTTTGAACCTGAGCTTTTTGGCCATTAACCATTAAGTCCGACTCTCTAGAAGTTCCAGTTTAGTTAGCATTTCCCAATTTGAAGGTGCCGACACCAACAGAATCCGAGCGAAGCACTTTTTCGACTCGTAGTGAAATAGGTTCTCATGTCCTTAAATGCCCGTGGGGTCTTGGTTTGTCCGCCATTTATAAACTGTTTTTACGTTATGGCACTACAACCTGTGTGAGGGCCTCCTTATAGTACGTACGATTGCTCAAATTCGATGTTCTTAGAAGTCAGGACGGAACTCCTTGATATTACCGGCCGTGCTGTCGTCCTCGAGACCATAACTCTTTGACGCCAGAGTGGTTTTAAAAAAATATTTTTGGCAATTCTGGTAAGTAATAATCTGACGAACAAATTTTCCTTTTTTCTGGTAGTGTCTTCCATCGCAATCTCTGCAATTATTCGTCACACATTCTTCCAGTGGTTTAAACTCCTAATGTGGTCCATCTTCGTTGATTGTATCGCCTCCGGCATGGTTGTGTGCACGTTGTTGTGGATATTAAGCAACAGGTGGATGATCCGCAAGGACCCCTCTAAATGGCTCGCTAGACGTAGTCGACGTTTCTCTGCTGCCTCTGACGACTCCTCAGAAGATGGCTCGCAGCTCGTGCCGCCAGACGTGGAGTGGGCCTATGCGTTCGACATCCATCTAAATGCCTACTTCCCTTGCATCGTGGTCCTACGTGTCCTTCAACTCCCATTCCTCTTTCGTAAGTGTCTCCTATTCCTCTTGAACAACCTCGCTTTACCGTCATTTTATCATTAATCACAAGAGTTTAGCTGCACATCCTTTTTCAAAGAGTCCTCAGACTCCTTTACTCAAACTTGCTGATATGGCCTCTGTGACCAGTAATTTCAAACGCGCAAATTGATCCTAAATTAATGGTGTTTGCCATTATTAAAGTCACCATTATTGTCGTAAGTATAAGGCTTTAGGTCGGCAAGAAAATTCTGACTTAGACCGGCGATTCATGCAACATCTGTGTCCGCTGCGATATTTTGAATAGGGAACCAGGCGGAGTAATAGGCCTAAATATCAAGTAAGTACCGCGTCTAACAGTGTTGTTTAAAATTCTACATAAATTAAACTGGTCGGAATTATATTCAATCGTCCAAATAATACTGGATCTTCTGGTCATCGCCATCTATTTCTGTCTGGCACTTTAAAACCTTAATTCTGTAGGTGGTTTCTGGAGGTGCAAAGTTTATCGTCATGTGGGAGAAAGCTCTTTGAATGTCTGTGGTAAACAAAATTAATTTTGTCTTTGGTTCGCGAAGGACCGAACTTCGTCGTCCGCCACGGCGCGTCTTAGATACGAGCCTTTTTATCATACAGAAACTCAAAGCCAAGCATCCTAGTGACGTTTGAAGTGCCACATCTATCATAGAAACGCCAGATTGCTATTTAGGTTCCTCGCAGCGTCCGTCATGTCTACTGGTCTCGCCCCATTCTGGGCGAACATCATCATTAGTGAGAGCCATTTACGATCCTTGGGAATTAAAATTTTCCTCAATTGACATTTATAAAGTTTTACACCAAAACCACCATCAGGTTAGAGTGACGCCGATAAGATGGCCAATATTGGTTTGCCTTCTGTACCCGTCTTGGGACAATCAAAAGACTTATTCAAAATTTCTGACCAAGATTTGGCATCGCTATCTCTGTTGTCTGGAGGCCCGGGGGCAGTGACTGATACCGAAGGCGGTACATCCGAAGGAGGCGCAACAGTGGGCTCGCGGACCGACCGATCTGCCGGAATGGCGAAGGTATCCAGTAGGATGTCAAGAGAGCGTGACGGCGCCGAATCGAGCCCAGTCGTGTTACTGCAATGTCGCCGTCGGATCTGGTTGTGGTGGCGAACCCAGATGTCATCACCAACGTCCACGTCAAAGAACATACTGCCTCTGTGCGATACTACGGTTGCTTCAATTCAGTCTGGGAACCCCGCTCGATAATCACGAACGAAGACAGGTGTTCCGATGGAGAGCTTGCTGCGAGAAACTGGAGAAGTCTGCGCGGGCTGCGCACCGGTAGGGACGAAGGCATGAAACGTTGTACGCAGTTTTCGGCCCATCAACGCTTGGGCTGGAGAAACGCCACTAGGGGACACCGGGTTCGGTGTTGTCCTGTAGGAAAACAGGAATGCCTGGACTATCTCGTCCGTGGTCCCCTCCCCACGAGCTTTCAAGAGGGCCCTCTTAAACGTGTCGACAAAACGCTCCGCCTGGCCGTTAGACTGAGGATGGTAGGGCGGGGAGCGAACATGCTGGATGTTGTGCTGGTGGCAGAAATCCTCAAATGTCGACGAAGTAAACTGAGAGCCATTGTCTGAAACCAGGACTTCCGGTAAGCCTTGTTGGCTAAAGATGCGTCGTAGGAAGGCGATAGTGGCAGATGTGGTCGCTGGATTCAGCGGTGCAATCTCGGGCCACTTCGAGTAGGCGTCAACCAAGATTAGGTAGGAGACTCCGTTAAGTGGGCCAGCGAAGTCGATATGCACGCGTGACCAAGGCCTCTCCGGTGGTTGCCAGGGTATTGGAGGTTGACGAGGCGGCATCTTGGCAGCTTGCTGACATCGAGAACAGCGTCGAACCAGGTCGTCGATGTCGCCGTCGATACCCGGCCAGTAGGCAAAACTGCGAGCAATAGACTTCATCCGGCTGGTACCAGGATGAGCCGCATGGAACTGGCGTAGTACAGTGGGTCGAAGGGAAGATGGGATCACCACACGGTCCGCAAACATGAGGCAGGAGTCAACCGCAGATAGCGATGCTCGGCGGAGGAAGAGCTAGCGAAGATCGCCTGCGAGAGCAGTGGTTGGCCAGCAGGTCTGCACGTAGGTGATGGCCTGACGGAGGACAGGATCCTGTCCAGTAGCATGCCGGATGTCCGCGGCAGTGACAGGGATACCTCGTATGGCGTCTGATAGCTGACGGCGCACATCGTCCTCAATCGAATTAGCTGCAATCACGGTATCTTCCTCCGGTTCCTGCTGATTGCTGATGAGGCGAGAAAGGGCGTCAGCCTGACCAAAGTCTGTAGTACGACAGTAGCAAATGTCGAAATCGTAACCAAGAAGGATGGTTGCCCATCGCTGAAGTCGGCTGACTGAGTAGACGAGAATGCCCTTCTTCGAACCGAAGATTGACAGCAATGGTTTGTGATCCGTCAACAACGTGAAGTTGCGACCGTACAACAGTTTGCGAAATTTCTTGACGGCAAACACGAGGGCTAGAGCCTCTTTCCCTATTTGCCCATAGTTCTCCGCAGGGGTTAGCGTGCGAGATGCATGCATGATCGCCTTTTCAGACCCATCAGGAAAAGTATGTGAGATGACGGCACCAACTCCGTGGTTGGAAGCATCTGCAGCAACAACGATCGGCAGCGTCGGGTCGTAGTGCGTGAGCAGCAGATCTGAACACAGCATCGACTTAGCTGGGCGAAGGCCTTTTCACAGTCGGGGGACCAGCACCAGGGAGCATCCTTCTGCAACAGACGGTTGAGCGGGGCCCGTACGTCATGCAGCGATGGTAGGAAAGCGCTATAGTAGCTGATCAGGCCAAGAAACGAACGAAGTTGCGATACATTCTTGGAGGCAGGCATCCGTTGGAAGGCCCGAATGTTTTCAGGATCTGGATGGCGACCAGTGACGTCAAAAACGAATCCAAGGTACTTGAGTGAGTCGAGGAAGAATATGCACTTGTCGGCCCGTAGGCGAAAGCCATATTCCTGCACGCGTTCGAGTACTGCGCACACTCGGTCTTGCAGCTCGGCAGGGGAGCGACCCACGATGATGATGTCGTCCAGGTACCCAGCCGTGCCAGGGATGCCGGAGAGCATTGCGTTCATCGTTTGTTGGAATAGGGCCGGGGCGGTCTTGATACCAAACGGCAGCCTGGTGTATTGGAACAGACCGCGGTGGGTGTTGATGGTCAACAATTCGCGCGACTCTGGGGCGACCTCGATCTGCAGATACGCATCAGCGAGATCCAACTTGGCAAAACAAGTGCCACCATTTAGCAGGGTGAAAAGATCAACCGGAACGGGCAGCGGATAGCAGTTCGGCGTCAGCGCGGCATTGAGACCGGTGGAGAAGTCAGCACAAATGCGAATCGAGCCATTGGGCTTCTTAACCACAACGATTGGAGCGGCCCAGGCGGAGGAGGATACAGGAACCAGAACTTCCAGTTCCTCTAGACGTTTCAGTTCAGCCTCGACAAGTGGTAGGGCTGCATATGGGACTGGTCGCTTTGGACGGAAGACTGGTTGACTTCCAGGAGACAGATGTAGCACGGCTTGAGTGTATGTGCAACGACCCAGGCCGTCTTGGAACACTGGAGCAAACCGTTGGAGAATGTCCTTGGCTTGGTCTGCAAGCACAGCGGGAATCTGCACCTGACTGCAAACAATGCGGAGCGGCATATCGGCCAACCCAAGTTTTTCAATCCAGTCGAGGCCAAGTAGGTTTAGATCAGACTTGGTGATGTAGCAGATCACAGTGATGCTGGTACGGCGTAACGACACACAGCATTGCAGCTGCCCAATTAGCTCTACGAGACCACCGCACGCGCTTGTGGCGGATTGGGAAGTCTGCTGCATCGTGGGGCTGCCAAGGGACTGCCAGAGTCTGTCAGAGATTATGATGATATCTGAGACAGTGTCCAACTGTAGACGAACTGCATGGCCGTTGAGCAAAACGTCAAAAAACTTTCTATGACCAGACGCATTGAGCTGGCAAGCAGCCAAGAGACTGAGAGAATTACCCACGGACTGGGGTTTGGGCTTGCATTTTGGCCGGAAACGTTGCCTGGAATTAGGAGTGGCGGGGGCTGGCTTGCCTCCAGAAGCTGGTACTGATTGGCAGAACCCATCACGGTGTCCCACCTGATTACAGCTTTGGCAGAAATGCTGGCGGAAAGTGCGATCCCGGTGGAAATGCCACGCGCCACAGTGCCGACAAGGAGATGGCGGAGATCTCGACTTGGACACTTGCTTGGGCCGTGTAACAGGATGCGATTTGGTCGATGTGACCGTATGGACTGAGAAAGATGAGGCAGGATTCTGAATCATTGCAGAGTCGTGCTTGAGGTTGATCAGCGTTTGGCACTCTGCTGCCAACTCTTGGAGTGTGGTAGAGTTGTTCTGCTGCACTTTGGACAGGAGACGTGTCCGGATATCAGCATCCTTGGGGGACTGGAGGCCGCAGATAAATATAAGGCATTTAAGCTGGTCATCTGTGAGAGAACTGAGTTGGAAACGCCCACACTCCCGATTAACAATGCCCGCATAAGTGATGAAGTCATCGGAATCTCGTTTGCACAGTTGCAGGCACTGAAATCGAGAGTTGAAAAGGGATGATTGTTCACCAAAAATCTGCGACAACGTCTGAACCGTGTCCTTGAAAGTGACTTCTCGGGGATTCTTGGGGAGGATGGAGTTGGCTTAACGCTCTTGTTCAGCCGGACCCAGTTTGCGAAGTAGAAGTCGGACCTTCCATGCATCGTCCTGGGCAGCCAGATCGACAGAGAACAAGTCCTCGTATCGCTTGTACCAGGAATCAAAGGTGATATGGACCTGCGGGTCATACAAGAATTCAGTGATGCTGCCGGCAATGTGATCAACAGATTGCGAACCACCTGCCGTGCTTGATTGACCCATGGACGAGTCGGACAGCTTAACGGTGAGTGTCTCCATTAGCTTCAGCTGCTGCTGCAACATCTGCGTACTCGTCAGCCATTGTAGTTGAAAAACTGCGTCGCCAATTTGTTATGACCCGCCTGGTACGTGAAATGCCGTGGAGCGTATACGCACTCGACCCTGGTCCCGAATACCAAGGCAGCAGACAAAGAACACACGGCTGGCCACGGAAAGTGTATTAGCAAAACACTGAAAGTCCCGTCTAGCTAAGGGTGACGCATATTTATCACACGCTAGCGTGGTTCGCCGGCATTCGGCCCAATGACCTTCGAGAAGAGGGGAGTAGCCAATGGGAAAGCGCCTGCTTGAGATGATAGCGCTGTAGAGAGAGAGCAAACGCACGTGATCTCCATTGATTGGTTTGCTCTTGTTTTTGGGAGTGTAGGCACTCCCAACAGAAATCCTACAAGACGCGTTTATTGAAGAAGTTCTGGTGCTGAGACCATTGTTATTGAAAGAGCAAACATCCTCCAGTTGCAAGAAGCCAAGTTGTAACGCTGTTGCCGCGGTTTTCGGCATTGTAACAGGGAAAATTTCCTCAAGAGCAGTGTGTTGTACCTAAGACGGGTAACTCGTAAACTTTTTAAATAAACAACCTATGGCGCTAAAAACAGCCAGCAATATCTACTGTAAATAACGACGGTTCTTCGTAAGAATTTCACACTGCCATCTATTAAATAAACCCCGAAAATCATGTTATTTACGTCACCCAGAAGCCGATGTCTCTCTTTCACGCTGCATTGTCACGAAAAGACGGTCAACTTCCGAACAAGCACCAGAATTACGTTATTTACCGCACTGCATACGATGGCCATAAATACCAACGTAATGGGATTCGTATTAATGAACGTAAGCGACCAGTTCTTCGACGTGACCCTCTTTCCCCTAGTTTTTTGCGCATGCAACTACCTATTCGTCTAGGATTCCGACGAGGCCATTGCCACGACCAACACAAAGTAATTACGGAAATTTCTCAAGACCCAGTAACAAAACACGGTCAGTACTAACCGTCGTATGGGCCTTTATGCGCACTACGGAGGCCTGCAGACACAACCCACTGATCTTTCGCGTTCCGCCGAGAACACTAGTAACAATTCTGTCACTGGTTACCCGGAATCCCGGAGAGCGAATCAGATAGATCAAATCGACTAAATTTTACAATCGGGAAAGGATATTTTTCGGTTTGAAGAAATTTGTTATAAGATTTTCTAAGGCCACCAAATATCCGTTGTGATATCCTGTATAGTATCTTTTTAATGGCATAGAGGACTAATAAGCCTAAAATGACTATTCCAGCCTCTCTTGTCTTTGTCGGTAGTCTCCCATCTGTATTAGTATTCGCTGTACGACTGCCTGCGAGACTAGATTGAGCAACAAAGTGCAGTAGGACGAGCATTTCCCGTAACACGTTCAGTGAACGCACTTATAGAGATGGCCCTACCGTCTCCGACCATCTCAACGCGTGGGGTCAGCACTTTTTCCTATGCCTACATATATATAATAAGCCGGAAATCGCCATTCCGGCCCCCCTTGTCCTTGTCGGTACCATTTTATCGACCTATATCACTGGCTGCTATGCGACTGCCTGTGAATACTCTGGTTTGAGCCTTAAGACAACGCGACGAGCACGTTCCGTAACGTGATCGGTGAGCGTTCATTTATTATAATATAATTACATATTGCTGATAGGAGCGAGGATGCGCGTTCCCGAACATAAATGAGAGGGAGAGGCGATTTCGGGAGCCTTAGTTGTATTGCCCTGACGTTTCAATTGCAAACAAGCTTTCATAGTCGGAGGTGAGTGTTGTACCACGCCTCACAGTATTTATAGGTGGTGATGGTCTCCTTTCAACGGGTTTAGCTCTCGTTTGGGGCCGGCGTTCGGGCGCTAGCCGTCATCGCACGTGTTCGCATGGACCTTAGTTCTCATCCTAGGCTGGCAATCTTCTTTACGACCCCGTAGATGGGCGCTCACCGGTCAGGTTACGGAACATGCTTGCCCCATAATTAATATCACCGATCACAACCGACAGGACAACGAGCCCG